CCTATTTGCCAATATTTGCCAATATTCTGCTCCACCGACTGCATCTGGGTGGATCGCCGTAGCAAATTAATGTAACCCTAATGTCAGACGGGGCGAAAATTCTGCCCGCGCGGTGTGCCCAACGCCCAATGACAGACCCGTTATCACGAGCTTGCTTGCCTGGTCCGCAGAGTTTTTCTTCGGGTTGCTTTCTTTTTTGCTTGGTACTCTTGGTTTTTTTCTTGGGTTTGCTTCTTTTTTCTTGGTGTGCTTCTTTTTGCTTGGTTTTTGCTTTTCTTTTTCTTGTTTTTTGCTACGTTTTGCCTTTTTTCTGTGGGCCATCATCTTCTGTTATCACGTGCCCAGGCCGCCACCACCGGCTGACTCATCGCCCCAGAATCCCTTTCGGTTGCGGCTTCTTGCCCTTCATGGAATCCTATTCCGGGGGAGTCGTGGCAAATTTCCTGCTGCAAACGGTCGTTCGTCAACAGACGAAAGGCACTGGGAGGTCTGTGCCTGATCGGGAGGTCCTATGCTGCCGTGAGATCGGTTAAATCCACGATAAGGAAGGTAGACCAGAGAGTAATATTACTGTAGGAGGGGATCATCTCTCCCCACCTCTGTACTATATATATATATATTACCACGAAGGCCAGTCTGTGCTCAACGGTAGGAGCATTGAGATCGTAGGGAACAACTTCCAAAATTAACTATACGGTTACGTAGAGATCGATCGAGCTAAGCGATTGCTGACTCCTTAAAAAAAAAGCAAAAAGCTGGTTATCTTCGACATACAATTAGAGGACGTACCTACTCCTGCGTACACAGTATCTCGAAACCGCCGATCTGCCCCATACAGAAATCCACGAAACATGGATCAAACGGCTTTTGCTCACGTGGCAGCTACGTCAACCGTCAAACTCATCAAGTCTAGGGGGCTTCGGGCAATTTAGTTTTGTACTCGTACGTTCGGATCAGCACCCATGCAGGAGGCTTTCGGACTCGCTGTCTCGTGCAAGACCTGTTCTCTTGGCACTGCAGATTAAAAGGACGGTCGGGATGATCACAGGGAATGCAGACTACGGAAAACCATCCCTATTCGGTGGCGTAGGACCATGGTGGCCGCTTACTGTGTACTATCCCATCACGTTAATTCGGATCGGCGCCATGCTCGACGAGTCGAGGTATCAAATGTCGCCTGGGTTGCCTCCCCTTCCGGTGACAAACGCCTGGGACTGGTCCATACAATGTGGACCGGCCCCGTTTTCCAGTAAATGCCTGACGCACAGCTTCCCCATCATATCCAGTGGGCCACGTGAGTGGGGTTTGGAAGGAGATGAGGAAGGCTTCCCTGGACATCCTGCAGGTCATGTTTGAGTTTCTGTAGTTCGACAACCCTCGGACGTCCTGACGTGGTTCGCCCGCGAAACCGAAGTGTCCCCAGTTTTAATCTCTACGGAGTAAGGTCGGCATCGACTTTAAGCCCAAGGAGACTCGTGAAGTTGAAAATATGTCCGTCCGCGCTGTTTCGGCGTGATCGCGCTCAAATGGCCATGCTAAAGGGAAGATACCCTTGGGTCTCATTTGTCAAGCTCCATAAACGCTTTCCGTCAGTGACAATGGAACCAGCTTCTATTCGACGTACCCAGTCGGATGAGGCCCGTTAATATCGGTTGGTCCCTCATGGCTCCACGGATGCAACGAACCATACGGTGCTGCGGTGGAAAATGCCTTAGCCCGGTCATTTAGAAGGCGGAAATCAGCTGGAGACCATATCGACCCGCATAGTCTGAGGGTGGGTCACCGCGCTTGACTTATTGGGACGTCTCCGACATGACTGGTCCTCACGTTCGGCGTGAACCTGCAAGGCGCCATATGGCAATCTCGGAAAATGAGATCGGATAACAATGCTCCTGGCACGGTAAAATGCACCAACTCTGGCTACAAGCACGGCTGGAAATCAATTTCTTATGACCAAGGTCGTGGTAGGAAAGATTATCCTCGTCAAGGGTTTCCATATCTCACCTGGGTGCAAGAGCGTTCTGCCACTCAATTGGGGGTTGTAGAAAATCCCCGCCAAAGTTCGCATCACCAGCACCTAGTAGCCGTTAGCTTAGCTGTCGGGTTCGCTTATCATGCCCGCAATTTCTTACCTCAGGTGAGGAATCTTCTTGAATTGGTACGCTTCATGGACCGGGCGAAAGGTTGCCATGGATCTCGGAACTCGTGGAATGGTAGACCAAGCAGAAAATATCTGATCACCGTGTGTAAGACAAGCCGACCGGTCTCGATGACGGACGGTTCAGCAGTCTCCATATAGCACAAATAAAGGACCCGATCGGTGTCAATTGGTTGTCTAGTAAGCCTCAGGCGGTACCTAGTACCCTGTCGTGAGGTTAAATGTTCAGTTCGAATCCCTTGAATCTCTTGGCGATGTTGACAAGGCCATCAAGTGGTCGAAATAGGAATGTAGACACCTAAGGCAGCATAACGGATGTTAGTTATTCCGAACCGACCCGTCAACACCATCAACTGTATGAGGACGCGTAAAGATATCCATCTATGCCACGCCATGTACACTCGGTGGGAGTCAGAGTGAGATGCTGCGAATCCATACTGTTGGGTAGCCCCTATCTCATCCCACGAGATAATAGTGCAATGGGCCGAATCGCTGTGTCCTAACGACCCACAGCTAGTGTGAAGCGAACGGATTCGTATAGAGAGCCTTTGGACCGGTGGCTTTCAAGAATCGCGCTGCTACCGGGGCCAGCTGTGGATGCCTTTCGGCTCTGGGCATTCTGGGATTACAGATTTCTGGAGAGAGGCAGCTGAAGTCAATAATTTGCTCTTTATCAATGGCCTTCCCACCTGGCTGATTGTAGAATAGCATACCACCACCTTGAGACTGGGAAAAGGATACATTTCGCCGGCAATGGGGTGATCAACGGATGCCACGTATCCTCCACTGTAACTTTAACTCCCGATCAAGAGCTACCGCGGCACCTACTGTTCTATTTTGGACCTTCACACCTCGCACAGGATACGAACCCAAATCAAAGGCCATAAGGATCTTAGCAAAGACAGGCTGTGCCGGGCGCATACCCAATCCTCGTCCAGGACACATTCCTGCCCCATAGCCGAAGGGCAAGAAGTTCGGGTAGCCCGTCGCCGCACGGGGATGGCAGCGGTGAGTATTATGGTCGTAGAAACGACATGGGTCAAAGCTATCGGGATACGGATAGATGTTAGGGTCCTGGTGGAACCACTGCGCGGGCATGGCAACGAAGCTACCGCGATCCAAAGTCCGACCAATACTGTCAAGGTGGACTGGCTGCTGGGGACGGCGCGTCGCCGTCACCAAAGCCAGATTTGCAGTTGGTGAGAAAATCGGACAACAAGTTGGGGAATGTACTGGATCATGAACTATATAATTATACACTGAAGTTGTATCACACCAAACGGGCTCTCGGGCAAAACTTTTCAGCCGGGGCATCCGATCCAGGATGTCCATGGGCCATTCGCCCCCTGTGGGATGCAGCGCGGAGCAAATCTCCGCAGCACATCTGCATATCCAGGGTCGGCCACGGCATAGTTCATCATCCCGATGACATACGTGGCGATAGGGAATGCGATCTCAAGGGCACTGAGCAAACAATCCCCAGTGAGGACACTAACTTTTTTTTTCCCTTCAGTTACCAATGCAGCTTCCCCACCAATCTCTCCCTTTTTCATCTTGATTGCAATGGTTGCATTAATCAAAGTGTGACCATCGCGATGAGAGAGCTTTTCAGCCCGTACGCACGCGATCCGCTGGCGAATTTTGGGCATCAACTGCTTCTTGCTGCCCGTGATAGTGGACTGCAAACGTCGCCCGCACCGTGAGAACTGCCAGAGAAGCGGACGAAATATCTCTGGATATATGCCACGGAGATCACGAAACCCACTGGCTTGACCACAGAAGTCAACGCAGCGCTGGACATATACGAGGGGTGGGGTCATGTCCAAATTCTGGCCCGATAATGTACAATGTCGCAATTCCAATCATCATGGGCCAAATCAATTCGTATGCAACGAAGGAATGCCACTCTGTGCCTGCGACTCAGTATGTGGATAGTGTATGAAATTTGGATGGCGTCAAACCCTTGTCTTTCTCGTCCTCGCAAGCGGCCTCAAGGGCCTTGTCGATGGCGAGAATGATGGTCTTATGCATCGAACCTACCGACGGGAGATATTTTGGTTCAAACCCCGTGCCTGGTATATTGCGCGTATTGGGGGCTTACCAAGGGTGTTGTTCTTCGACACGGATACCTGCACCGCTTCGACGTGATCCCTTGTCATCGGACAAGTCGATTCCAAACCAAATGCCTGCAAGCAAGCTACGTAGTCAGCGGGAAGTTACTAAGGGCGATAAAGATTGAAATTCAGGCCCCATACGTGGTTTACCGAGTCCAAAAAGCTGAAATGTTCTGGAGTCTTCCGTTGGTAATCTTTTAACGCTTTAGGAGGCAACACGACGATGTAACTTCAAAAGAATGGCATCGCCGACGGCTGCTCTTCCTTGGTATACTGCTCGCTCTTAGCCTGGGAACAGTTGGCCCTCTACCTTTTCGAACTTACCATGTCAAACGCTTGCTGCACCACTCAGTTAAAGTCCCGACCTATCGGGGTTGATTGAAGCGGCGCTGCCAGTAGCTTCCCTCCCTAACGATCACAATACCCTAGAGTGCCTTTCGCTTTATCCATAGGTCAAGATAGTCGGTTAGAACTGCTGCGCCGCAGCGCAAAAGCAGCGATATCCTTACGGTTAACATCGACGACTGTTGTATGGTGAGCCCTAGGTTCATGAAATTCTCCATTTCGTCCAACCCCATAACTGGTTCCTCCAATCTGGACTCTGGCTAGCACTGATAGCAGATTTGGATCCCCTGAGCTTGGGCACTATCATCCGCCCGAGGAGCGGTCAGGATCTGGCGGTAGGAGTTTGTCTCGGAACGGTCGCAGGTTCCACAGAACGCATACCAATGATCGATCTACTTGGGCCAAAGTCCATCGCGATGCTGTCTGACCAATTGGATGCACAGCGGTCGCCCACATGGCAAGAAACGAGATATGCTGATGAGGACTGCGCCGACACTGGATGTAATTCTAGGTGCTGCGCCTTAGGCAGGATGCGAGACATCCGATCACAACTGTCTGATTGGCCCTCAGACTCCATCAAGGATGCCTTTGAGTGTCCTGCTCAGCATCTCGGAATAATCTATGATCAGCTTGGCAAGGCATATACGCATAAGCAGCGATCCATCTGGGAAATCCGTTCTTCGCGCGGCCACAAGGCTGCCCATGTCGCCCACGGCTTAGAATGTGTCATTAATCGCCATGCTATGCTGCGTAGTGTCTTTGTCCCTTCACTGGACAACCGTATGGAACCCATTCAGGTTGTTCTGAAAGAGATTTACCGCGGCCGTTCAGATTGTGAAGGCCTCCGACATCAAAGCGGCTGTACAGCTACAGGAGTGCAAAGCCATTCAGTGCCGAGACAGGCCCTTGCCACATCGCTCTATCCTGACTGATGGGCCAGATGGGCAGATTTGGTGGCTCTTCGAGTTCAACAAAGCACTGATCGACGCGGCATCCATGATCATTGTGCTGCAAGAATTAGCCACATTATTGAATTGTCACTCTTGCCCGCTGGACCTAGCTCCTTCCTACTCTAAATATGTTTCCTTTGTTGACGAGATAAAACCGGAGCAATGCCTGCGATTCTGGCGGCGGGCCCTCCGAGGCATAGTCCCTTGTCTATTGATAAAGTCCCCAAGTTCTCTGCTACGCTGTCCCTCCCCGGAACCCCGGGTTTGCACGGTTAGCAAAGAGTTAACCGCCTTAGACACATTGGCGGCTCTTTTGAAAGCTTCAGGGTTCACAGCGACCAATGCTTTCCAGACCGTCTGGGGATTGGTTCTGGCCCGGTCCATTGCTCCTACGGATGTCTGTTATGGAGGTCTCAAGTCATGTCGCGATGCTGCCGTCCCCGGCATTCTTCAGATGGTTGGCCCTCTCTTTAACATCCTCCCATGTCGCCTGCAGTTCAGGTCCATTCATCCAACCATGTCCGAATTGAGTGACATCCTTTTGTCAAACCAGTCGGCGATGGCGGAGCGCACCCACCACCAGCATACGTCTTTACAGAGTATCATCGAGGCTACTGGGGTCGATAATCACCAGCTGTTCAACACATGTCTGATGGTTTAACCAGCTATGGTTACTATGACAAGGAACCAAAGCGTTCGATTCCAGCTTCTTGAGTCGCGCGAACATACCGAGGAAGGGCTCCCAGATCATTTTACTAGGCAATTTATGTTGTAGCTAACGAATTCGAGGAATATAGTACAAGGTAGTCGCAACTGTGATCCTTTCCCCTTCGCATTGTGAGCTTCGCATCCGTTATTGGGATGACTTTTTCTCTGAGCCTGAAGCGCTCGATTTGCTTGACCGGTTCTGTGATACTGCGACGGAGGTTTCGACGGCGGTGAGCTCTATGGAACTAGGTACCAGGGAGACGCCTTTTGCATAGTTCAACACCACTCATGAGACATCACTTATACTTCATGAAATTCATCAGTATACTTACTCAATGCGGTGTTGAACAAAGGCATGGGAAGCGGCCGGCTGTCTTTCACCTGATAGCTGAGGCTGCTATCACCCGGATACTGAAGTCTGCTCGTCTGAAATAATAGCTCCAAAGGTATCACAAAATTCCTTTGGTTCGATATGTATCATATACTCTTATGCTCAAACCACCAGGCCAGACTTGCCACCTACAAGCTAAATGTTGGGGGTTTAGGCTGCATGGTCAAGTACTTCGCTCCGTAGCCAGGCTTTAACTCCTAAAGCCATGGGATGGATCGGGGTTTTCAATACTACTACCGCTCCATTTGACCCCCAGATATAATTAGAGATTCCATCGGTCTTGCCGATGTCATCGGTAAGCTGCCGAGGACCATGAAGCAGATCCTAATTAAATCGGGAGCTAACCGAACGATCGGCAGGCACCGAGAACCTCCCTTCTCAACGGCCCCAGCTTTGGTTGGTCAGATACATTTCATTCTGACAAAGAAGGATGTAGAATCTAACTTAGAAAAGATGATGCTATATCGGGAAAATGGATTACACACAAGGCGACTGATTCCGGGGATGATTCCCTCAGTCACAGTCCAGAATCTGACTGATGTTCAAAATCTACCTTTAAAACACATATAGCAAGCTCTAACACCAGTCCAAGCTGCATAGCTGGAAGGTGAGGGTAGACTGCAAGTCAAGGAATAAGAGTGATCGGATGATACACACTAGTAATCATCCGGGAGGTGACCTGTCTATATTTTATTTTTCCTTCCTCCTCTCGGAGTAATAACCTCACAACGACCAAGGTAATCGCACTCTAGATCCTGCACCAAGCTGGTGACGTTCTCTGGGGGCTAATCCAAAAGACACTAGCCACCGGGCAGATACGCCGGGTTTGCCGGTAGCTGAAAGCACTTCAAGACCAATTTGGACGCACACTGTCGATCCTGTAGCCACTCATGCAGTCATTGGTCTATACCAAACCGCTTGGCCAACAGGGTAATATATTGAAGCCCGGATACGACGCCGGAAGAACGTCTAGTTCTTCAGGGGGAATCTCACCATTAGCCAGGAAAAGTGGATATTGTCACGGAGAAGGCCAATAGTATGCTTCCAGGGATGCTTATTACAAGAGTAGCTATGGGGTGACTATTGGATATGGGGGCCATATGTGTGTTGATTGTAGAAATAGTTATTCTTGCAGAAGTCAAAAAGGGCAATACCAAGGTATAAAAGGGGGTCGACCATCGCGAGCATAAATCGAGGAACCAGGAATCATCCGTCATCCACTGACAAACAGTTATCTCTTAATATCTTATCAACTTCGTCACAGAAATGCATTTCGCTGGAGTCGCCGCCATTGCTTTGGCCGCTGGTGCCACTGCGTATGATCTACCAGACAACCTGAAGGAGATCTACGAGAAGCATAAGGTATGACGTTGAAGTCGCTTTACATGTTCTAGCAATGCTCTCTTAGTAACACAGTTGTCCTGTCTAGAGCGGAAAGTGTTCCAACGAGCTGCAAGGTGGCTACGACAATGGCCATTCCCATGATGGAAATACCTTCTCCTACTGTGGCGATATCCCCAACGCGATCTATCTGCATTCGTCGAAGAATGGAGGTCAATATGCCGATATGGATGTTGACTGTGATGGCGCGAATAGACATGCGGGCAAGTGTTCCAATGATCACTCTGGACAGGGTGAAACCCGCTGGAAGGATGAGGTTCAGAAGCTTGGGATTGATGACCTGGATGCAAATATCCATCCGTATGTGGTCTTTGGCAATGAGAACGATGATGGTGACGATCCTAAATTTGATCCACGGGAACATGGAATGGAGCCATTGAGTGTGATGGCAGTTGTATGCAACGGCAAACTGGTATGTGCAGCTTCCTCCATACGATCTACATGTGTCTAACCATTACCCCCCAGTTCTATGGTATATGGGGCGATACCAATGGCCATACCGCAACCGGAGAAGCGTCTCTTTCAATGGCCGAGCTTTGCTTCCCGGAGGAGGACCCCTCTGGGGACAGTGGTCACGAAGAGAATGATGTTCTCTATATTGGTTTCACTGGTAAAGAGGCGGTGCCTGGCAAGACCGCTAACTGGAAGGCCGACAACACCGAGTCCTTCGAGGAGAGTATCAAGGAGCTCGGAGACAAATTGGTTGCTGGTCTCAAGGCTTGAACTATTGAGGCATGTGTATAGTGAATTGGTTCTGTAGATCGACTATAGCTGCATATCTGTATTTCATGTATACATTGTCTGAGAATTTGAAGTGTATTTGTTGCATCAGTTATTTCAAGAATCTATGGACCGATAGAAACAGAGAGACGAGTGGTGAGATTGAAACCTCTAGTGCTTATTACGGCTCCCACAAAGTATAACCCACCGTCGAATCACGATCGACAAGAAGGAGCAATATAACGAGTAAGGAATAAGCTCCAATTTGCCCAGATGCTTGGAAGATCGGCACTCGGATATTGAAAAGGCCCCGATGGGCCAAATATGGCACATAGTGCTAAGGCCTTGCAGGATTCTGACGGTCTGACCCCCTAGTGTTCGAGGCTTCGGAATGTGACCTCGCGTTACTACGACGGAATAGCAAATGGCCCCAGAATAAGGGGGCCAAGAGAGAAAACTCGGTCCCAGCTCCTTGTCCCAAGCATGCTGATGCGGCAACGTACAATCCTTCATATAAATCCAACCATTGGCCGCGTGAAGTGCCAACAATACAGTTCTTTCTCCTTAATAGCTACGTCTCGCTAATCATCATACGTTAAAATGATACCCAAGTCGAGCCTCATAGCTGCCGTCCTTTGTCTCGCCATTGAAGGGACTGTCGCGCTCGATCCAAAATGTGCACCCGGAGGCAACTTTGATCTGTCGTACTGGAACCTCCAGCTCCCCACTGGTGAAACTGGCCATCCCTCAACCATAGTGCCATCTAAATTGAAAGGCTGCGATGGGTATCAGGAATCCGGTGTTTTCTATACCGATAGCAAGGATGGAGCCCTAGTGATGAAAGTTCCCGGCTCTCCTTCCTCTGCTCATTGCGTGACAACCCCTAATAGCAAACACTGTCGCACGGAGCTCCGCGAGCTCAGCTCTGATGGCGGCGATAAGGCTAGCTGGAGTCCATCTGCATCGAAGAACCGACTCAAGGCCACACTCACCGTACCAACACCGGATGATGGGTCCCACGGCACCGTCATCGGTCAGATCCATATCGATGACACTATCTCAAGCAAACCCGTCTGCGAGCTGTATTACAGCAAATCGGGCGACCTGGTTATGGGAGTTGAGAAGACGCGCGCTGGGGGCAAGAGTATCTTCACTAAGGTGGGAAATGTTCCTGTCGGGGAGAAATTTTCGTACGAGATTCGCTATGAGTCGGACAAGTTGAGTGTCAGCATCAACGGGGAGGCACCGCAGACATTGGATACGTACTCCTTGGACTCACCGAAGTCGTACTTCAAGGCTGGGAACTATAACCAGGGAGACTCGGCTTCCGAGGTGCACTTTTACGAACTTAATGTTCAGCATTAAGGACTGCGCGCCTGGATGAAGGGGGCTAAGGAGGGGAGGCCATATAGCTTTTCATTGTTTCTACCTTTGTGACTTTGGTTGCTGTCGTGGGAAAGACAGACTGATATCTGAAAAACTCTCCTATGGCGCTGTAAGGGGAATCGGCTTGGCTTGCTTGTCCTGATACCGTCTACATTGACAGAAGACCTATAGACATGGCAACTCAATGATATGAGCGCTGAACACCAACCACGATGCCACCGAAGGGTTATGCTGCAAGAGTAAGAGGTCTAACGTGTATATTATGCTCTGTCGATAGCAACGCTGTACTCTATCATTGTGCCGAAATACTCTGCGCGGAAACCTGAGCCTAAAGGAGGCTGGCTTCACCTAATACTTGGATTCAGATGAAATGTAACGAACATGTGAAGCGAATATGTAGCTGTATCATGAACTGTAGCTTGTACCTCGACGATTGCTATTTATTGAACCTTTCCCCGCGAGTCAACGCGCCAGATTTCCTCAACAATCCCGTTCCGATGAGCATAATAGAAGTCATGCAGGTTAATTGTGGGATCAATATGGCTCGGAATCATTTCAACCCTGTCGCCCACGGCCAAATTTGGGGTTCCTTCCTCCCAGCTCAGTGAGCCGTGTTCATCGCCCAGGTTCTCGTGCGTGTACCTCGGGTCTTTACACTCTGCCAGCCCACTATCTGTCGTCAAGGACTTTAGGCCAGTATCGATTGTCACTGTCCTCTCTCCTTGTTTGCTGATGACCGTAGAGAGTAACGTGAGGCTATTTGAATAAAATGTCCCGACCGCATTCCGGTAGTCGGTGTCCATGAAAATGAAGGATCCAGGCTGCAGTTCGGTCACACCGGGCACTGCAGCGCAGAACTCAACAGTTCCAGTCCCCCCTGTCGTAACTACTTCAATGTTGAAGCCCTCATTGCGGAGCAGCGTAGCTGTATCTGTGAGGATTTTCATTGACTCGAGACATTGTTGCTTACGGTCCTCCCAGCTGTGGAGGTGCTGTAAATGGCCCTCATATCCCTGGACACCGATCAAGCGCAGGTGGCGGAGAGAGCTGATATGCCTTGCCAACGTGAGCGCTGCCTGTGCATTGGCAACACCGGTGCGATGCAGGCCTACGTCGAGATCCACCAAAACAGAGATAGGTTCTGCGATGCCCGCCTGCGCCAGTGCATTGTTAATTGCCGTTGCGCCAACTTCACTGTCTACCACAATCCTAATGTTTTTGTGCTTCTTGAACAGTTCCACCAGCCTTTTGACCTTCGGCTCGCCAATAATCTCGCAGGTGATAAGGATGTCGTCGAACCCCGCGGCGGTGATGGCTCAGCTTCGGACACTTTGGCCACACAGCAACCTTTGGCCCCTGCAGCGGCAAGCTTCTGTGCGAGGATCGCGCTCTTGGTAGTCTTCAGGTGAGGGCGAATATTGAGCCCAGTGGGTAGGAGGCTGTCAAAGAGTTTCTTAATGTTGGCTTCCATGAGATCCAGATCCACAATCATGGATGGGGTGTCAAGGCTGTCGAGCCTGTCGCCGATCTTGGGGGAATACATGGCACAGTTTCAGACGATACGAAATTCTATGAAGGAAGATCGGGGGTAGAGAGGAATCCTGAACAGTCAACGTAGGCTGTAAACATGCAAATGCAGGGTATCATGGCCAGTAAATACTTCGAATTGGCCCTGACAACCTACCCCGCCTTGCGTCCCACAGAACGCTTCTGCCAAGGCCAGCTAAGGCTGTGGGTCATTGGGCAGGCGTGCATGACTGGCTTCAACTGGTGCTAGTCGCGTCCAGTGGGTCGCGGGGAGCTGGTGAAGAGGAGGCAGTTTGTATAAGACGGCAGGAAGTTGGCCGAAAACGGTAGACAGTTGATGTTGCTTGCGGCCATCCATTTGCCAACCCGTGACCCTTCCGCCACGCACTGGCCTACTTACATCCACGCACTTGATGGTGAACAAACCCTTAGCCATCGACATCGCCTTTGCATCTAGAGGACAAATGGCCAACATGTCGCCCTTTAAGGGTTTTCTCTTGGTATTCCACATCCTCCAAATCCGAACACTCAACTCAGAATAAGCCGAACCGGCCGCAATAGGCAAACATGGACTTGAGAATAGGACGCCATTCGTTGAGCGTAGAACCGTCCATTGACGTTGCAAGACATACTCTGCTAATAAGACTCGCACCCGCGCATGTCTGCAGGGGCTGGCGGCGCTTTAGAGGGCTCTTCCTTCAATTCCGCACACATATCTGACCTATCGCAAACTCCATGCGTAACCGACTATGTGAGGTTCGGTGCCGTCGGACCCGCGGAACAGACTAGACTGTGGAGAACCCCCACGCAGGGTCAGTGCGGACTCGCAGGCCTGATCCAGTATACACGCGCTGTAGAATCCTCTATAGCCTGTGTAGAATAGAGTATCTGACATCAGGTTTCTTTCCTCGGACAGTCCAAGTGTCAACTGCATCGCAGCTGGGAGCCGCGGATTAAGACCGCCATGGCAAAGAACATAAAAGCCGCCCTTGAGCGCAAAGAAGTCCTTTGGATTTGTATATCACCTTGAACAGGAATACTACAAACTCTATAATCCATTGTCGCCTTTTGCCCACAAGAACGACGCTTCAACATGACGAGCTCCACTACCAGCGCTGACCGGGTTGTCTTTATTGGGGCCGCTGGCGAGATGTGTCGCGTGGCCATTGAACGGTTTGCTACCGCAAGCAATGCCTTGCTGATTCTAGCGGACATCAACACGGACGCCCTGGAACCGCTTCTCGCGAAGCTGCCAGCTGGCCGTGCGACAACCAAAAAGCTAGACCTTTTCGATGAAGCTAGCTTGCACGACACGATTATCGGGGCGGCTCTCGTTGTCCTTGGCGCCGGACCCTACGCGCGAACCTCGGGGCCCGTCCTGGCCGCCTGTCTGAAGGCGAAGGTGCCTTATCTTGACTTTGACGACGACGTGGAGAGTACTACGGCAGCTCTCGCCCTACACGAAAAAGCTCGGGACGCTGGCGTGCCATGTTATATTGGCTGTGGTGCCTCACCAGGTATGAGCAATGTACTGGCGGTTGACGCCGTCGGCGATCTTGACACGGTTGATACGATCGATCTCTGTTGGCTCGTGGGTGATGAGCGTCCCGGGATTGGCAAGGCGGTTCTGGAACATCTCATGCATATTGCTGCTGGGCCTTGCTTGACATGGGTAAATGGAAAGCCATCGCTCAATGAATCCTGGGTCGAGACAGGGTATGCGCCCATGGTAGGACAGTGTGGTGAAACACTCTTACATGAGACTGCGCATCCGGAGCCAGTCACCCTACCACGGCTATTTCCAGGCACGTCGCGTATTCGATGCCTGGGCGGGCTGGATCCTGCACCCTTCAACGGAATCGCCCGTGGACTGGGTACGGCTGTACGTCGGCAAGCATTGTCTATGGACGAGGCCGTTAGCTTCTTACTCAGCCTGGTTAATAACCCTCCATCGTACAGTGGGTGGACCGATGCGTTGGGCGGCTTGACCGGACACTTCCGCGGCGGTGATATTACTATCAAGGAACTGTGGCATTTGGTGGCGAAAGGGACCCATGCTGTAGGTCCTTGGCGCTATGCACTTATGGGCATGATTGACCAAATTCGAAGCGGTGAATGCACAGTCGGAGAGATTCTGTCTTTCATCGCCTCTTCGGTGCGCGGCCAGCCAGCACCATATCGTGGCAGTCTCCTCGTGCGAGCGATTGGTTCTCGCCAGGGTCACCCTGCCGTGGTTATCAAACGAACAGCAAAATGTGGCGAAGGCTCCTATCTTATGAAGGACATGGCGTCAATCACCGGAACGGCATGTGCCGCGTTCATGGTGATGGCGCTGGAACCAGGGCAGAAGCGGACTGGTGTGTTTGCTCCCGAGGATTGGGCGAAGCCCCAGGCCTTCTATCAGGCACTGGAGCAAGTGGGCACTCCCCGTGAAGAGATTGTGGAATGCCTCACTTCATAATGGAGGGATCAACAAAGGGAGGGAAGTCGAACGGTTTGGACGCCGGTGACGCTAGCCAGACTGGCTGAACGTGTCCTATTTTCTATCTTCCTGTCTCGCGCAGTGTTACTGGTTCTTGTCATTAACCGTCGGATATATCGCATTTTGGCATGTTATCGGAAACGTCACTGTCACTATCTTTTATCATTACTGTTCATGTTTCATGTTGTTAGTAGATATGGTTATGCAGTTCTATCTGTATAGACTCGCTTCGCCGCATTGTCCCCTGGATTCTCGAAGATCCACGACTAGATTAACAGTAACTAGGCAAAGCAGCCTCTAGGGTTTCGGTTCAGCGTCAGAAACCGTATCCAACCCGCGGGCTCAGATGGTAAGCCTATACCTATAGCTGTAAACTCACATA